ACAGAGGTATGAGATGAATCTGCTCACTGGGACCCATGTATCCAGGAGGATTAGTGATGGTAGCCTGAGAATAACTTTTTAACCCAAAGGGCCATTTAAAGTCTTAGCATATCTGGCATGTTGTGTCTAAAATGAAAGTGACTTCACATTGCTGCCTTCTTATTCTCTCACAAGAGTTTTCAAAACTTTTTCCTACCTTGGACACTCCATAATTTAAAACAATCAGAGCATTGTTAACTTGTTTCATGCATAGATTCTATAAAACTTAGCACACTGAATTGAAATGTGGTTTAAAGCACAATTGAATAATCTTTCATTTAAAGAAATTATCGGATATAAAAGAACTGCTGTGGCTAGTAACTGTGGTAACACATGAGGATGCATCAGAAGTTGCAGAGGTGGGTGTGCCTGGTTATTGAGGACCCATCATTACAGGCTTTAATCCTCACCAAGAGCTAAGGGTTTGGTGTTAGTTGGATTGTCTCATTTGTCGCTCCTCAAGGTGCCTCTAGGGAAGAAGGAAAGGCTCCTAGGGATTACAGGAGATTCAAGGTCCCCAACTCCATGGTTCAAAGTGACTTAGTGCTTTCACGAGATCAAATCTGTTTTCTTAACTATATCACTTAATGGCAATGAGGGTCAGTTGAGGTTGAATGCTCCAGAAAGTTTTATGAATAATCTCATGTATTTATTATATGTAATAAGAATGATTCAGACTAACATTATCAAAGAACATCTTTAGTGTGTAACTGCAAGAATAATAGTACTATCTAATCAGATAGAAATTGGTCTGAAGGTTTAAGCACATTAATACTACATATTAAATAAAGCCATGTTGTATTTAGGATGCCAAGATCAAAATGACAGCAGTGCTCTTCCACACCTGCCCCTGCTTACAATTTCAGATCTGCCCGATCCTCCCTTTCCCCACACCAACCACACTTGGAGCCTGGGTTTTCAAACACAAATGAGCTTATTGTGGTTTTCCAATAAACAGGCAAGATTGTTCTTAGCAGGCCTCCCCCAGTTCATTCAATTGTAAATTTCCGTTCTGGGTCTCTAGGAAGGCTTCTCTCATTGTTTTATCTACCGTACACATGGTCTTCCTAGGCATGCTGGTAGGACCTTAAGGGCAGATATCATGTCTTACATGTTTTGAGAAGATCCGGTCTCAGCATACAAGCAAATACTGGGCATGCAGTAGGTTATTGCTCCATGCAAGGAGCATAAGTACCCTTGGAAGAGGACTTCACTCTCTATTGCCCTATTCCGCATGCTAAAACTCCTAACACTGCCTATAACCAAAGGTGCTCTCTCCTTCAGGTGTTTTACCGCCTTTCTAGAAGGTGGTGAGCACCGATGTGTTCTCTGTTGAGTAAATTTTCTTTTGCTTTCCTGATTTTATAGTGTCTCAAGTAGATGTGCTTTAAAAATCACTAAACCATTGGTTTTCAGTCTTTTTCTTTTCAGATTAGTTATATTTTTTAATTCATACAATGTTGGCCATGCTTAGAAAACAAAATAGCCAAAGTCTCTCTATTGAAGAAATTTAATATATGTTTAACCCAACCATCTTAACTTCCTTGTATAAGCAAGTTATAACATGCAGGGTACATTGTGTTTCACATCAAGAAACAAAACATTGAGAACTGCCTAGACCCCAAAGGGCGTCCCAGGCCCAGGAAAGCCTTTTGCTGTTTCTTGCTTTGGCTTTTTTTAGACAAGTCTTCTGACCTAAAAGCCTTGTCTTCCTCATGTTGCAACAGGCAGAAAGCAGTCACATGGTCTAGATAATCAAATGCATCCTAGTGTGAGTTAGACAAAGATCCCCATGCAGAATAATCATGGCATCATATGTATTCAAATGTTCTCTGCTTGGTTTTTTTTTTTTCCACTGCACTTAAAGAACCATCATCTGAAGTGAAGCTAAAAGGAGATTGCAATTTTATATTTGTAAATTGTTTTAGATACAAGGACACTGAGTAAAAATACAAAGTAGGGTTTGATTTTTAAATTAAATACATGTTCTAAAACACTGCTTTTTACCTTGTTGGATATACTTGAGATCCTGTTTTATGTTTCCAGGAGCTTCATAATATTTGTAAATCTGGAATGGGAAGAGAGAATGTTCTATTAGAGGCAGTTTTTAAAGTTTCTGGGCATCTGGCTGCTGTATTTTTAGCTCACCCTTTGTGAATACTGTTTGAACCTTGTAGTTCCTCCACTTAAACACAAATCTCAAAAGCTCTCTGTTTTCAGCCTTCATTTTGGTGTAGATGTGTTTACTTGTAAAGAGTCATAGGAAGGCAAGTCTTTATCAGAGCTGGCTTTTGAGACACATAAGAGAGTTAGGACTTCTGAGCTTTTGATAGAAGCAGAATTGCAGCTGGGCACTCCATTTAATAATTTTTTTCTTTTCTACAAAAAAAAGAGAGAGAATTGCTTTTGCTTTGTCTTACAAAACTCCACAGATAGGAATAAGACCTAAATGTGTATTCTCTTTCCTCATTATGGCCATTCAGCAGCAGCATTTGGGACTCTAGCCTCAGACAGACCCTCAAAGTACACTTACTTGTGTTTTGTTTTCTGACTTTGCTGCTTCTCCCCTCTCTTCCTATTTCAGTTATGTGTGTGCATGCATGTGTGGTTCATGGAGTGGATATGGAGAGATCAGAGGACAGATTGTAGAAGTTAGTTGCCTCCTTCTACCATGTGGGTCTCCAGATAAACTCAGATCATCAGGCTTGGGGGCAAGCACCTTTACCCACCAGGCCGTCTTCCCTACGTTCATCTCCCATATTCTTGGTCACTTATTCAAAATTAAACCTTCATTGTTGTAAAAAGTATGGTTAGATGGAGAGATAGACAGGGTTGTGATGCATCGTACACAGTGAGTTGTTAATGGTAGACGCTACATGGAAGGCGTAGCGTCATCCATGGTTTTGATGTTGCCCATAGTAGGTGCTACTGCTGGGTCATAAGTCATTGAGGTTATTCCTCCAAGAAGGATGTGTTAGTCTCCTGGTAAATTCTAAAGAAGAAAATCTATTGTAAAATGAAGTGAGAGAACTGACTCCCAAGCTAGTTGTTTCCTGACCTCTCCACACATTCCCTAGCAAAGCATACAGACCCATACAGTAAACCAATCAATTAATAGATCAGTTTTGTTGTTATAGAAGCCAACCCACCCTAAAGTCTACAGCATCCTGCCTCACCATGTAATTTTTTTCTGTCATGTGCTGTGGGCCCCAAAACAACTAGTATTGTCGTAATTGCACTTTGAGCACCTCTTTTCCTTCATAAGTAAGCTGTCTTAGGTATTTTGTTGCAATAATAAAAACCAATGCAGAAATGTCCACTGATAAATTGTTTCAGTTATGCTTGTGTTTGAAAATTGTCATAATAAAAGCTCAGGTGGTTTTCATGAAGATAACACTACAAGGACTCATTTATTCTGTGTATAAATGTTTATGTTACATTATTAGAGGGAAATGAGTATTCTTTTAGAATAAAAGGCCACATTAATCTATTTTCACAAATGAGATCACTAGGTTGATTTTCAAACTCTCAATTTCTGAAACTCAGATTGAGCATGGTAAATAATTGAGAATGTATAAAAATTCAGCCATGTGGTAACAATTTTTTATTGAATTTTCAATTGAGCAATAGAACATAGGTTATTGAAGCCATGGTGTATACATAATCAGTGTAATACCGTGTACCATTAAAGTATATGCTCAGAGACAAATGCACTGACATAAAAAAGATGTTTGTGACATGATATTTTGTATATAGCTAGAAAGTTAAGGATTACAGATATGGTATATACCTGTCAGTGTTTCTTAAAATAGGTATTATGATTTTCTTTTTTTCCAATAAAATTTTCCTAGTTTTTTAATTTAGTAGCACAAGAAAGAAGAAAAATGGGAAAAGGAAGAAAAGAGAATTTTTTTTCTCTTAAACTGGAGCAAGAAAATCTTGAAATTTTTACATATTTTTTATCAAATCGAAGGAATGTGTCTTATACATAAGACAAACAGCGAAGCCATTCATGTTTCAGAGGATGTTGAGGGTGCCACAAGTGGGCTTTTGAAGGGAAGTTACAGTGATCTCATGCTGCTGGCCCCAGAGCACTTCATATTTGGAAATGCCCATCGCTAGCTCCTAATTGCATTAATGTCTGACTCATGAAGGAAGGGAGCTTTGATGTAGGAAAAGGAAAATCCATTTTCCTCTGAACACAGTAACCACTGATACAGTTCTGACTGTGTGACACCTGTGTTCCCTGGTTTCTCAGGGTCCCACCGAGGGGGGCAAAGGGAGGGAGAGAGAGAGAGAGAGAGAGAGAGAGAGAGAGAGAGAGAGAGAGAGAGAGAGAGAGAGAGAGAGAGAGAGAGAGAGAGAGAGAGAGAGAGAGAGGAGAGAGGAGAGAGAGAGAGAGAGAGAGAGAGAGAGAATTAGTTCAAGAATATACAAAAATAACTAAAATGTTCTTACTATAACTCTATAAGAGATTTGAGCAGTGCTGAAGTTGGTAATCTTTTACAGTATATCTCTGGAAGCAGTGGAGGACTAGAATATTATTTTTTCTTCATGTATCCAAATTGATTAAACCCTTTATGGTACTGAATTTAATTTTTCAGCTATTACTTAAAATGTCTCCCTTACCTCCCAGTGATGTATTTCCTTCAGCAAACACCCCACCCTCAAGTGTTCCATAGCCTCTCCAAACAGCTCCTCCAGCTGGGGTCAAGCATTCAAGTGCATATTGATTGAGATAATATAATCAAAATTAGAGCTAGTCTCTGGGTTCTACTTTTCGAGCTCACAGTAATCGCATGAAATTTGTAGTCCATTCTTGGGTGTGTGTGTGTGTGTGTGTGTGTGTACATGTGGACATATGCACATATGACACTCTTCTCTATCCTCGCATCCTGTCCATTATGTCTAATTGGTCCCTGAAAATGCTAAATGTTTTCTTCATTCCTTATCGTCCCCAGGCAAAATGTCCCCTGACCGAGCTTTGAGGAAGCAGCAACAGCTAAACAACCTTGTTTATGTGGTGCTAAGTCAAGCCAAGCCTGGTGACAGAATCGTGGATTTCTGCAGTGGCGGGGTATCGTATATCTCCCCTTGTCCTTAGCTTTCTCAAGATCACTGTCTAGCAATGAACAAAGCCCTGGGAACCAAAGTTAACTTTCTGTGTCTTCCTTTTCAGGGCCATGTCGGGATTGTGCTTGCGCACATGCTGCCTTTGTGCCAGGTAAGGGTGAGTAAGAGACAAGTGGAACAGTTTAGCCAGGTACAGTCAGGGATCATGTCTGGCCGAACCGTAACTCTTCGCTTTGCAAATGATTTACTCATCAAGTCAAGTATGTGGCACACACCTTCCTTGGAAGGAAACTCCTAAGATCAGAGTCTTACTTTGGGGGCAAAAGGAAAGTAAGACCAGAAAGCTAACTTAGCTTTCACCACAGTCACAACTAGAAATGCTTCCAAGGACTATAATTTAACATAAACTATCTGATTAAAAAATGTCATTTTTAAGAAATATATAGTCACCTGGGGCAGAGTAGAACTGTCCAGTCACTGACTACTGTGAGGAGAAAATCTAGCGCTGACAGGTAGTCAGACACCTGATGGAAAAATGGCTGGGATGGTTTGTTGTCTTTCATTTAGAGCAGTGGTCTACAGCCTGTGGGTCATGACCCCTTGACAGTCCTCTGTCTCCAAAGCATTTATGTTACAGTTCATAACAGTAGCAAAATTACAGTTGTGAAGTAGCAACAAAAATAATGTTAGGGTTGGGGGTCACCACAACATGAGGAACTGTAGAGTCGCAACATTAGGAAGGCTGAGAACCATTGCCTTAGAGAATAAAGAACAAAAATAAGTAAAGTCTGAGGAGAAGAGGCAAGCCCTGCAGTGTCCTGAGAAGCAGCATGGGGGTGGGGTGTCTTTTCCCCTTCCTAATGATTCTCCTGGAAAAGGGCTTCAGCTAGATAAAACCAGAAGGTTTTTAATATCAATTGTCTATCAAGTGTTTTATGTAAAGTGATAAAGTATTTTTCTATAATGCATGCATAAGGAAAAATAAATAATAACAATGTCTTAATTTTAATCTGTGACTATTGTTGGAGGCTCCTTCTGCCTTTGGCCTCCCCCCATCAATGCAAGCAATGTACTGCAGCTTTCGGGACCTTGTTTTATCATAAACACATGATATGGTCTCCCGTTGTTTATTTATGTATTTATTCTCCCACCTCGTCTCCATCCTTTACACCCTGTCCCTCCTTCCCACTCTCATTGTTACCATGCACTGTGCCCCTGGCAGTTTTCTCAGCTCCTCAAATACTGATTTGCCACAATCTTCCTCAGGCCAAGTTCCCTCAGAGACCTCGGTAATGTTATTTCTCCATGAAATCCAGCTTAGTCATCAAGTCCCATTACATTGCACTTGCCCGTCTGTAGCTGAACACATGGCACACTGTTACTTCTCTTTCCTTCACTTATATCATTACATGCTAAACTTCAAGAGTTCAAGACATTGTCCATTTTTGTACCAGGTAAACTGTCATACAGGATATAGGTTTAATAAATGCACCATGCATTACTGTGAGTTCGAGGCCAGCCTGGTCTGCTGAGCTAGTTCTAGGACAGCCAGGGTTGTTACACAGAGAAAGCCTGTCTCAAAAAACAACAAAAAGATAAGAATATAGTAACAATGCTCGGCACTAATGTCTGAATTGTGTTACTGAGTATCCTGGATTTTTTTTCTGCATAAAATCTAGGTTACATTAATAGAAAACAAGGAATTATCATTAATCCGTGCTAAGAAGAGAAGTGATGAACTCGGGTTAAGCAATATTTGGTTCATTCAAGCAAATATGGAGTATTTTACAGGAATGTTTAACATTGGGGTAAGTAGTCCATAATTTTGGTCTCTCTAGTTAGCTAAATAATGATTTTATTCTTTTGATTAACTAAAGAAAACAATTCTATATTCTTTCCTAAACAAAGACATATATAGCTTTGTATATGCTACCTACTGGGTACAGCATAACATTATTCCACTTACAGCCCTTTGCCATTGTGTGACAGATAATATCTGAGAGATAAGTATTATAAATACCTTTTGGTCTTTACGTATTTATGCACATATACAAATGCTGATTTGTATATGAGTCTTGGGGAAGCAGTATAACCTAGATCTTTCTGTAACTGAACATAAGGCTGTCATTAATTTTTCCCTCGTTGTTAAGCATATTCTTCTTACTTTCATAATGTAAGTTTTAATCACACTGGCTCTTTATACTTTTTGAAGCATTTCGATGTAATTCTGTGTCACTGCCCCATCCCCACTCAGGTCACACTTACTGGACGGAACTGTTACCCACATCTAGAACTCAGAGTCTGTACTAAAATTCGTATCTTAAATACTGACTACCGAAAATGATGAAAGTTTGCTTTTCTTTTTCCAACTAAAAGGCAATCAATTTATGTCCTTTGTAGATGTGAAAAAATGTTTGAAATAGCAGGAAATTGCTACCTTGTACCCACCTCCCAAACATGACATTTTCACCTCGCTGCTCCTGGTTCTGTTTGTCCTTTGTGACTGCAGGTGTGAAATCATTCTGATAATCTTCTAACTTCGTCAACTGAAATGTGTGTGTACCTTTGGAAGCAGCATTTTCCGCTGTTTTTCACTTTTATATACCTATCATGGATTTTTTCCTTCCATAGTTACTTTGACTGCCCCTATGTGCTGTATAATGATTTTTTGTTTATTATTTTTACTGTTTTAATAGACTATATGTAGTATAGTATTTGTATATTTGCAAACATCTAAGTAATCTATACAGAAATAAACATGTGAAATACATGTTAAAATTGTAAATATTAGTATTTCTTTTCATGTGATATGGATAAATTCTCCTTGACTTGTATATCCTGATAAGCCAATAACAGAGACTGTCATAAGTAGAAAATGTATACAATACACTGGTCTACTGAATATCATAAGTTAGCTATACCAGATACTGTGAGGAGCTGCTCAAGTCCTTGGGATCACATGGCTGACTAAGGCCTGGGCTGTGCTGCTCTCTAGCACCACAGAGAGGCTCATCAGAGGGACTGTTAGCCCAGGATCAAGTTTCAGATATGATGCCCACTGAATATCCATTGCTGCTGCACCACCATAAAGTCAAAACCTAAGTAAATAAATGGAGGCATTGTTAGTCATTGATTATTTGTATTTTCCTTCAAAACACATATTTCATTATTATAGGAATACCATTTTATTAATGCTGGTTTTGATTTTAATGACTAATATACATCATAAGGAAAAATATTTTTCCAAGCTAAGTATCCAAAAAAAGGTTTTTAGAATTTTTCGTCATTTTAGTATGTTCAGCTTCATGACCCCCTGCTTTGAATAAGTATTGATTATTATATATTTAAAGAATGCTTTTAATAAAAGATTATTTGTAAAAGTATAATATTAATGCTATTTTATTTTAAAATGTATTAGTATTTTGAGTACTGTATTTACATCATTTTCACACCACCCTCTATCCCCTCCACCTCCTTTCATGTCCCCCCAATCAAATCTCTTTCAACTTTGACCTCTTATCAATTGTGTGATATGTATGTATGTATGTGTGTGTGTGTGTATGTATGTATGTATATGTGATTACAGCCCGCTGAGTCCATTTAGTGTTGCTTGTATGTGTTTGGGATGATCTCTTTGGATTAGATAGCCCGTCCAGAGCCTGCTCCTTGGAGAAGACAGAATCTCCCTCCCTTAGCAGCCACTGATGACCTGTAGCTCTTCATCTAGGAATAGGGATTTGTGAAGTTCTTCCCATATATGTTTGTTCTCATTGTATAGATCTTGTTTAAGAGACCACATTTTTAGGATGTCATGGGTGCAGCATGGGTGTCATAATTCGAGCACACTATCTCACAACAGCCAGCCTACTCCTATATGGCTTTTACAGTATTTCCACCCCATCTTCCGCAATGTCCCCTGAGCCTCAGATTGTGTTGTAAATATATCAGTTGGATTTCGACACTCAATTGTTCTTGACTTTTTGGCCTGGAGTAGGTTCCTGTGATAGTCTCCGTTTTCTTCTTTAATCCTTTATGTTCAACAAGACCCTCCAAAGGCCACCTCCTCTAGAAGACTTCAAGACTTCCCCCCTTTTCCATTTTCTAATGTTTCTAACTATACTTACATTATTTTTTATTGTTTCGTTATTTTTTGAGATGGGTCTCATGTGGCCCAGATTGGCCTTGAACTCACTATATAGCCAAAGATAACTTTGAGCTCCTGATCCACCTATCTCTGCCTCTCAAGTGTTGGGATTACATGTATACACCATCACGCTGGGCTCTGCACCCTATTTAAGGGCACAAACGTCCCACCATGTGTTACTGGATCTCCTGTAGTGCTACTGTGCTGTTGCTTTTATAGTGTTCTACTTCTGTGTGTTATCTGACATAGTGAGCCATGTTAGTTATTACCAGAGTTGTAGATTTGTCCTAACTTAAGTTAATTGATTTAGCCAGTCCTTTGGATTCCACTGGTATCATAACAGAGCATAGAATAGTAACCACAATTTTGATATTTTATTCTTTACAATGACCATCATAATGATAAATAGGAAGATCTTAGAGATTTTTTGATAAATGAAATAATGAATGAATATATTATTTCATTTCTGGAAATTCTAAGCCTTTAATGATCAAAATAAAAGACAAATTGCTCAACACAATCACTTACTTCACGTTGCTGCAGAAGCTCTGTAAGCCAGTGTTGTGAGAGGACCTGTACTGTTCCCGACATGTGAACTGGCTGAAAAGACAAGGCTGTTCTCTTCCCTCCTGTCTTAGCAAGGTGACCCAGTCCAGAACTGAAAGATGATATAAAAATGGACATGTGTAGGCTTTGGATCTGATTAATTTCAGAATGTGATTATTTGTAATATTTTCTAGTAACTTTTATTTCTTTTTTTTGTTTTGTTTTGTTTTTTGTTTTTGTTTTTGCGAGACAGGGTTTCTCTGTATTGTTTTGGAGGCTGTCGGTCCAGCCCGGCCTCGAACTCACAGAGATCCGCCTGCCTCTGCCTCCAAATTTAAATAGTAAATGTGAATGGCTTTTCTGTTTATGCCCTGATAAGTTACCATAAACCAGGCATCTTAAAGTAACACATTTATTATCTAACAGTTATGTAGATGAGAAATCTAGATCACAAGTCAGTCAAGCTGACTCTTACCTGGAGTCTCTAAGGTGTAGTGGTAGGGACTCACTGAGGTACTTAGTATAGCTTGGTTTCATACACTCATATCTCCCTGCTAGCTATGGGCCACGAGTCCCCAACTTCTGGAGGCCACCTGGATTCCCTGGTTCCCCTCTGTGGAAGCCTGTGGTGGCAGTCCACGCTGTGGTTTATGTTTTCCTGACCTCCCTCTTATCCCCTAGGTTCCTCCCTTATAGAATTCTCTGCTTATAGTTAGGTTGAATCTGCCCCTGTTGTGGGTGATAATCTTAATTTATAGCTAGTCACATCTTCAAATGTCTAATTATACAGTATTCTGCCTGCATTCATATCTGCATGCCAGAAGAGGACGCCATATCTCATTACAGATGGTTGTGAGCCACCGTGTGGTTGCTGGGAATTGAACTCAGGACCTCTGGAAGAGCAGTCAGTGCTCTTAACCTCTGAGCCATCTCTCCAGCCCCTCAAATGTCTTTTTTAAGTGAATGCTCAAATATCCCCCATCTTGGATCCTTTAGAGAAACCTTAAGCCATATTCAAGTGCTTGTTGCTTTCTCCTGTAAGATGTTCTGGTTCGTCTTGCTTATTTCTTGCTTTGTGTGTCAGCGGTTTCTCCTGAGTTTTCAATACTCGGAATTTAGTAAGATGCTGAGCGCTAAGGTCTGCTTCTGTTCTCCAGGTCGCACTGCACGCTTGTGGAGTAGCAACAGACATGGTGATCCAGCACTGCATCCAAACACGGGCTTCTTTCATCACGTGCCCTTGCTGCTACGGGTTCATTCAGAACACCTCCAAGTTCAACTTCCCCAAAAGGTGACATTTAGCGTTTTACCTAAGACACCAATGTGAGCATGAGTTACTGCCCAAGACTTGTTTGATAAAGATGTAGTAAGAGCCGAGCGGTGGTGGCGCAGTCCTTCAATCTCAGCATACAGGCACATCTCTGTGAGTTCGAGACCAGCTCTGGTCTACACAGCGAGTTCCAGGAAAGCCAAGGCTGCTACACCGAGAAACCCTGTCTGAAAAACTCATATATACATACATGCATGCATACATACATACATACATACATACATACATACATACATACATACATACATAAGGTTGCAGTGAGGTTTGAATTTGAGATTGTTTACCTTTTCCACAGCATAGCACATGTTGTTTATAATCAGGGTTAAGAGGAGTGCCTGCCCTCTGCCCCTGCTTTTCTTCCTGATGGAGTTGGAAGCAAGTCTATATAGGAGCCAGGCCAGTAGAAGTCTGGTGGCTTCCGCACCTCCCTGTGCTCTTCTAAATGAAACCAAGCCACCCTGTCTAAGAGACAGTGGTGTGTGATGGCCAAGTGTTTGGCATCTTCTAGATAAGCACTAGCTGCTTATCTCTCTATAAGTTGTTTCTCCTCAAACAAGTTACTGTACTATTTTGCTGTGTTTTCTCGTGTGTAAAATGAGGTTGTAATAGGCTCTACCACAAGGGCTTCGGTGAACATTTAATAATGGTGTGTATATTACTTAGAAGCAGCAAAGGGGCCAAATGCATGCCTGTAATCCTGACACTGTGGCTGCTGAAGTAGGATTGCCTCAGGTTCAAAACCAGCCTAGGCACAGAGTAAGACTGTCTCTATAATCAAACAATGGAAGGAAAAAGAGGTCAGATAAGTCCTTCATACATGTGAATTGTTCTCGTAGTTGCTTGGCATCCATAGCGCATGAAAGCACCTGCCAACCAAATCAGACAACCTGAGCTTGATCCCCAGACCCTCTGACTCCACACACATGGCATGGCGTTCGCACCCACCCACATATACACACATGCACAAAACATAAATAAACAAAAATGGAGAGGTTTATTTAAAAGTAATAATAGAATAGTATTCATGGGTATTGATTAGATTTGACAGCCATAGAAGAGGAAGAAATTTTAATTCTTACCATTTTTATTGGAAGACAACCTTGTGTGTCATTTCACTCTCCGGTTCATAGTTGCTGAGAATCAGATGATAAGTACATCAGTGTTGGAACTTCTGTTCTATGTCAAAAAAACAAGACAAAACAAAACAAAACCCTCTTAGGACACAAAATCAGTCACAGTCACGTTACTTTTAGAAACCTTAGAAATGTTTCATTAGAATTTACTTAGTCTTTAATGTAAGTACCAATATGAAACAAATCTTTTCTATTTTCTTTCATTATTTTCCTCTTGCCACAATTCACAAATTGGGAGGAAAACAAAGAAAGCATTGAAAGATAGATGGACAGAAGGTATTTATGTATATAAGTTACTTACATATATTTAATTTAATTTAATTGAACAGTAAAAACCTGAAAAAATGTGTGATTTTTACAGTGCATCAGGACCTAGATAAGTCTGAAAGGTGTTTAAGAATATTAATTTGACCTGGTCAGATTTATATCCTGATTATACTGATTTAAAAATCTCCATTTCATGTCACCCTTTCTATAGCCTTGTGAATTTACTGTCATTTTGCTCTTGTCCTTGGAACTATTTAGAGTATGAGAACTAGCTAATTCATCAACAGTAGAGGTATGAATTCATAGTCTATTCTTCCTAAATTATGTAAAAGCACAGGTTATTTGGAATTGATACTAATGAAGTTAATATCATATAAATAGGCCTATTCTTAATGAGTTAATAGAGTAAGGGCTACATCACTGTAATGGACTGTGTTGCATACATGTTACCATTAGTATTTATGGCAGCTTTGGTTTCTGATTAATTTTTTCCTAATGTTTGACATCTAAATAAACAACTTGTCTACAACTTACATATATAAAACAACCAATATAAAACCACTAATATAAAGCCTTTGTCAAGCTTTATTCTTCTGGACAGCTTTCCCTGTGTCCTAATACGCAGCTCAGTACCAGGCAGTTAGGGACAGCCCTCCATTCCAGAACCCGTTAAGGTTGGTTAAATTAGTCACCTTGTGCCTGTTCACCAACTTTCCTGTTCCTTCCCACAAAGGAGCATTAAAGGCCCATATGTCACTGCACTCCCTCTGCCTCATGAATGACATGGCACTTCCCCACAACACCCTGCATGGCATGCCACTCCTTCCTGGGCAGTTGTGAGGACTGAAGTATGTCTTCAGTGGTGGTTACCTCCTGATTCATTGGTCTTGCCACATCTGAATCATAATAAACCCACGCGCACGTGTCACGAGAAAGACCGGAAGGGGTTGTACTTTCTTAACTATCTGTGAAATAGGCTCTTTAAAACTCATGACATCCTGATGCTCTTCTGACATCTTCCCCTGAGCACATTTCAAACTGATGCAATTCTCCATTCGGGATAATGTTTTATACTCTTCAGATACAGTATATATTTTCATTTATAATTTAGGTTATTTGACCTTCTTTAAAGTGGTAACTAATTCCTTTTTGTTTTCTATTCTAGTGAAAAATTCAAGAAAACTTTATCATACAAGGTAACCTTATTAAAAAGACCTGGATGTTTTCTGAATATACTTTGTGCATTTCGGCTTTTGTTTTATTTGAGATAGGCTCTGGCCCTATGTCCTAGAACTCATTATTTGACCAAGCTGGCCTCACGTTCGTGGTCACCTCAGTCTCCTGAGTGCTGGGATTATATACATGAACCACTGTGACTTCTTCCTATACAACTTTTGGTCCTTCATATCTTCCCATCCCAAATTTTGTCTTCTGTAATCTACAGAAATATTGAATTACTCAAATATATCCAATATTGCCTCTTAAAAATTTCAAATCCCGATTCTTTGAATAGTAAATTAGGTCTGGGAAGGACCTGAGATATTCCCCCCCCCCTTCTTACACACATGTTAACATGTTAACTGGCATGGTAAATGCTGCCAGAGTTAAGAGATTCTGGACAGAAGACAGCTGTTGCTGTGACAGTAGCAGTAGTCAGAGTCCCATCATCTTCATGCTGACCCCCTCCCCAAGGCCCCTCTTCCCAGGAAATGGATCTACTCATACCTGCAGAGGGAAACTGTTTTCAAGGCCATTCACTCTAATGATGGACTTGGAAAGATAACCTAGAGTACAGGGAAATTGTTCTTTAAAAAGTCAGATATTTTGGGATCTTCTAGCCACATCTAAATTTCCCAAATTCTCCATTGCCCTTGCCAGTTATATTATTTTTATTGTTCTTAATTTATAAACCTTTGAGGAATAAATCAAATAAAAGAGTTATTTGATGGTGAGGTACCCACAAGTAGTTCTTAGGATGTTTGTCCCAGAATTTGTCACCCCCCCCCCACCCTGGCCTTGAAAAAAGACAGTTCTTGCTTACAGAAACTCAAGAAACACTTGGAGACCTGTCTCCTAAAAGTCGAGATAGTCTTGAGTCACTAATCTGAGCTGAGCAGTTCCCATCTTTCTGAATATCACCATTAACAACTGTTCAGTAACATGGCGTATAATCTAAGAAGTAATATTTGAGCTAAATGTAAAGATAATTCAGCTAGAACTTGGTAGGTAGTTTGAATTTAAATTCCGTTAATTCCACTTTTTACATAGACCCACTGGAACATAATTTTATTTTGTGGACCAGTCCTACATTTTAGTATTTTTACTTCCTCCATCTAACAATGAAGTACAGTCTCTTTAAACATTCATTCCTGCCTCTAACAGCTTCATCTCTTTGAACATGTCTTTATTCTTCCAAAATGCCCACTTCCAGCTCTGTCTCCCACCCTACCTATAGCCCTCCCCTCCCCTGCCCCATGCACAGCCCTCCCTCCCCTCTCCCCTGCCCCATGCACAGCCCTTCCTCCCCTCTCCCCTGCCCCATGCACAGCCCTCCCTCCCCTCCCCCTGCCCCATGCACAGCCCTCCCTCCCCATGCCCCCATGCATAGCCCTCCCTCCCCCCCCGCCCCATGCACAGCCCTCCCTCCCCTCCCCCTGCCCCCATGCACAGCCCTCCCTCCCCTCTCCCCTGCCCCATGCACAGCCCTCCCTCCCATCCCCTGCCCCATGCACAGCCCTCCCTCCCCTCCCCCCTGCCCCCATGCACAGCCCTCCCTCCCCTCTCCCCTGCCCCCATGCACAGCCCTCCCTCCCCCTGCCCTATGCACAGCCCTCCCTGCTTCACTCCCCTGCACAGTCAGAATATTTCAGAGAGGATTCTCATCTCACCCTTTCCTCCATGATCAGAACATCGCTGGCCAGATTAGAAGTGTTCATATCCTAGGAACTTCTAGAGAGCAAACATTAGGACCCCTCCCCCATCCTTCATTCACAAGGTTCCACTTGTATTGTCGAAAATTAATTGTGAAAAACAAAAATGAGAAGTGTGGGGGGGGGAAAGCTGGCTGGTGAGGGGAAGGGTACCCATAGTCTTACTGGCTGGAAAAGAATTTACAGTAGTAAAGAGGAGAAATGGTCACCCTTACTCCAGAGAGCAGAACCCCACCCCCTGCCAGCACCCCAGTTCATAGTGTTTGTCTACTGTTACTCCAGCACTCTCAGGAGCTGCTAGGCCACCAGCCCTCAGAGGTTTTGGGTGTGAAGCCTGAGAGATGTCGTCCCTTCTTAAATTCCATGACAAAATGTTACCCCGTTATTTCCTATGGCTTCATGTCTTAGTGTCCAGATATTTTGAGAACATCTGCATGTGGCCTGCTCTTTCAGAAACTTTTCCTAAAGAGAGAAGAATAAATTCTGGAAAGGGATGGTAACGCTCAAGCCCAGAGCATTGGACCCCCCCTCCCAAGCTCTGATTGCTTCAACATTACCTTTGCTTATAAGCAGTGGGTCTGTTTAGAAACTCCATGGAGACAAAGGGAGTACTTATTCCTGCTTCTTCAGATCTAATAATTCTAAATTCTTCTGTTCCTTTTTTGATGCCACCAAATTTGTGGAGGCTTTATAAACTTATTTTTCAAACCACTTTATTTCCTTCCCTTTGCCATTAAATCTTATAGTGACTATTAAAATATGTCTTAATACATAAGGGTTGAGACAAATATACCCTAGTTACAAAAAAAAATGCCACAAAATAGAGGCCTCACACTCAGAGACTGAAGCAAGAGGGTTGCAGGTTTGAGGCCAGCCTACTAGGAAGACTGGAAGAAGAAGGAGGACGAGGAGGACAAGGAGAAGAAAAAAAAACAACCCTTTAAATTTAACATGCTGAGTACTGAGAATCAGATGGCAACTCTGAGCTTACCCTGTTCACTGAACCTACAGGTGGGGCTGTGTTCCCACTCCAGAGCTGCAGCTGCTTTAGGTGTCTAAGGAGCCCTGGCCTCTTTCTCCTCAAGTAGGATGAGAAGCCACATCAAGTATCTTCGTAAAGTCCCACTCCAGAGTTCAGATAGCCTTCAGAAAGGCAAGTTAAGAAAGTATAATTGCAAAATGTAACTGTCTTGTCCTGCTGAGAGGATAATGACAAGGAGGTAAAATGGCGTTGAGGTTTCTCTCCGCATCTGAAGAACAGTCAACTCGAAGGTGAGCAGCTGCTGAGTATGCTGAGTAGAAGAGTCTTCGGACTGCTCTTCTCAGCCATCCAATTCTATGCAGCAGTTTCTATACTGAGCCCCAGAAAAGCTGAGGTTCTGTCATTGTTCCCTCTGTCTGTGTCTCTGAGTTCCTTCTACGACTCTGAAGCACTGAATTGGAGTAAACCTACATTCTTCTCATGCTCCTTGTAGGAACACATGATTCTGTGCAGATTTGCAGATCAGACAGCTGTGCAGCTCCCACCCCAGCGAAGACTCATAGGTATGTGTTTTCACCGAACAGCTGCCGAGGAGAGTACGTCCCCTATGCCTGGGAATGAGTGGATAGGGTCTGCTTGGGGAAAACACTGGTCCGTTTATCATTAAGAAAGTGTGTGCTTTCCGGGAATTATAATGCACATTAACAGGGTTTTATAACTGTAACAGCATGTCACATCTTGTTTAGCATCTGTGTCTTTAAATCCATTTCAGTGTTGTATACTGAATAGATTTCTCAAAATCTTTTCTACTGTTAGGAATTTCAGAATCTACCCAGTCACAAAGAAAATGATAAAAATGTAAATGTCAACTCCATGTGCCAAAGTTGAGTCACAAAAAATGTATAAAGAATGGGAATGTATCTTTCTTAGACAAAAGTACACACACACACACACACACATACATATATATATATATATATTCAGCATTTGGAGTATTGAACATTACCCAAGTTAAAAGACCACAGAACCGCCAGGCAGTAATGGTGCACGCCTTTAATCCCAGCACTCAGGAGGCAGAGGCAGGTGGATCTTTGTGAGTTCGAGGCTGGGCTAGTCCAACAGCCTCCAAAACAATACAGAGAAACCTTGTCTCATAAAACCAAAAAAAAAAAAAAAAGAAAGACCACAGAACCATTTCAAGTAGAATAATAGCAACTGTTATCACACACTTAAAACACTGAAATGAGATGCAATCATTTACATTTGCCTGAGACTCCTCACCTGATAGATGCCAGAGCCACACTACGACCTCAGAGTATTTGGTTCTAGCTCAGCTCTTGTTCACTTCTGCAGTACAGCTTCTCAGCTTCCTTCAGAGCACCAGAAGTTTTGGCTCTAAAATAGGCGATAAGATAAATGGATGCGGATTAAATCACATCTTCTTTTTTTTTCTTAGAAATCCCACATTGGATACTGTCATACATTCTAAAATTCCTTGTGGACTTGAGTAGACTGTCATTTCTTTGAGCCCAGCTGAAGTAGTTAGTTTTTATTCAAGAAGATGTTATATGATAAGTAATTACCTTTACCTTCTAAAGTCGGCGTAGTAAGGTGCTCACACTACGAAAGGCACTGAGATGCAGCTAAGAGACTTCCCTTCCTGTTCTCACTGTGCCCAGAACTGCCATCTCTTGCTTAAAGCCTTTCATTTTCTTTCCTCTTTTGCTGTCCTTCCTTCTGATTTCCCAATTTTGATTTTTTTAAGTCAGTGTAATATACACTTGTTATAATTGCACCAGATGTGTGTCTTGGTTTGTGTAGGCTTAGTCTTTACAATCGATGGAAACTGATTAGGCCACAGGGTGTTAATCTGCCGGGTGTCTTCTTGCAGAGTCATAACAATGTCGACTGTATCAAATGCCAAAGGAGGAAGGTAGATCAGCAGTGAGAGAGAGCACAGGAGAGCAATGGAAGGGAACACCTTCATGAGATGTTTATAGTCAAACTTCTCTCTTTGTAAGAAACTCACAATAATGGGCCCACCTCTACAGTAACATCCTACATCCACCTTGTACTAGTGGCCTAACTCTGGCTTTTTGGGGCTCACATCTGAGCACAGGTGACTGGAGATTAAGTTTCCAGTGTGTGCCTTTGGAGAAACACATTCAAACCATAGTCATGGTTGGTGCGGTGGATAGATGCGATCGTGGTCAATGTGAGTTTTAAGTGTCAGGTGAGAGCAATGATTGAAAGGGAAATTGCCAGGGTTGGGACGGAAGCACATCTGGCAAGACTGCTGACGGGACGGGGCAGGGTAGGGTTCAGACAAAGCCAGAGTCTGTCACATATCTTGCCACTTCCATGTGTAATGAACATTTTTAGAAAATTTGCCAACCCCCAAAAGATAGGTTGCCAACAACTGAATTTCGGCTGTAGTGACACTAACATGGGAAAATGTGAGCTTCTTCTGCAAGATGAAAAAGGAAAACTTAACTGTACTGGGATTGGAGCCAAGAGTCAGTGAGCTGCCTTGTAAAGCCAGGGTGGGTCCTGAAGGAATGCAGAGCATCCCGTTCTGGGGATGTTTCCTTTTAATTGAAAAGTGGATGGGAGCATTCCCACAGGTCTTAAAGGAGAAGGTATTTTAAGGGAAGAAAGAGACCAGCCTTTTACCTGTTAGTGAGGAAGTGATTTTTCTAAATGGAATTCTAGATATCTCTTTTGTGTCAGTTTCTAACACACTTAATCTTCATGGTGTGAGTTCTTTTAAGGTAGTGGATAATACTAACTTTGTGAATCTGAGTATCTTGTTTGTTCTTCCTTGCTAATTTCATCTTTCCTCGTTTTTGTTTTACCTGTGAGAGCCCCATGTTTTACCTGAGAGGTTTTCTGTTTCGGTGATGTGTCCTCCCTGCTGACGTCACTTCAGCAGACTCCAGCTAGACTACTGTATTGTAAAAGCATGTTTAAGCATTATAATTATTGAAGAAAAAAATGGAAGGAGGGAGACTCTGCAGTCAGTAACCTCTTCCAAGAAAATGAAAATTTAGATAGAGAATGCAGAACAGTTCAGATTATAAAAACAAGTGGTGGCTTTAATATAGTAAGCATCAAGTCATTTTTTCTTTCCTAATCTGCTTTTGAAATTTTACATTTGTACTTCCAAAGGAAAACAAACTGCTTGCTTGACAGTCGGGTTCCCTCTTTTGTTTAGTTTCTCAAACATTTCAAAGGAAATAGAAAACCAGGATCTTAGTGAGGTGAGGGCTGAAAATGAGGACAGTCATACCCAGCATTACATTTCTGAAATAACTAGGACACGGTTAAGATTTTCTCAGATAATTTTCATTTCCTATTCCTTCATAATCCTGTAAAACCCCAGGTGGAAATATGACGTGTGTTTCAGATGGCCCTTTGTCAGTATATTTCTTTAGATATTCTCAGAAAGATTTGTAAAAGAATATTACTAATAATGTGATTTTACTCCAAAACAATACAGAGAAACCCTGTCTCGTAAAACCAAAAAAAAAGAAAAAAATAAAGTGATTTTATAGGAATGCAGAACTATTATAATTCCTATAGAAGTCCTATAAAATGGATTTTGACCAAAGTATCAAGTAGAATGTGTAAGTGCAATTTGAGATATACTTGTCAGTATGCTTTTAAAAGTTAGCCTTCTGTAAATCACTAGCCAAGATAAACCTGTGAGGTGTGTCTTCACACTGGTCAGAAGCTAAACTTAAACTGTACTGAAGGATGTTGTCACTAAATGGCATAGCTATGAAGGTGTCTCAAAGATGCATTTCTCTGTTCCAGGGAAGCAGTGCATGTGCCTGGTGGATATGGACCGTGCAACCGCCGCGGAAGAACACGGCTACTCTGTTCAAGTGATATCTATGGAGCCACAGAGCTGTTCTCCCAAAAATAACATGATCGTGGGTGTCCCCGTTTAGAATGAGGCACTCACCCTGATGTTTTGCCATTGGCTTCCTGGTGAAAGCCCAGGGGTATGCAGGGAGTCCTTGGTGTCTTACTGGAAGCGATGCTGAGCATCTCGAACCTATCCAAAGTTACAGGGAGCCTTGGAAGAGGGACATTTGCTGTGTGTGCAGAAGGATGGATGACTGGCTTCCTAGAGGGAATCCCCAAAGCCTCAGCTGCCAAACAGATCATTCTCACTGGCCAAGTTCCCTTCATCAGAGCCATTTCCTCACGTGCTTTCTTGATTGTGTCAGTGGGATAGTCAAACCAAGTTATGTCCTCGAAGCCTTCATTTTGTAATCTTGAGATATTCACATATAGTGATCAAAACTAAACTCAAAGGTGGTTGTGGTTTTTATAGTTTTAAAAAACAATGTACGTTTTCTATAGTTTTTTTTTTAATCTAGAATGGTAAACGTGGTGTGACTTTTTAATCTGAATTTGTGTATCATGGAGTATACTTCTTTTAAATATATGTCCCATAAATTATCAGATGAGATTATTGCTCCTTCTAATACTTCATTTGAAAATTTAAGTCAATTACACTAAACCATATATTATAAAAATGAAATTTAGGTATACTAAATTTCAGCATATAGTTAACAAATGCTGAGATCTGTGATTTTCAAGCACTTGGCCAAGGTTTTTCTGAAAATACAAGAATTAATTCTGTAAGTTACATTGCTTCACCTACCAAATGAGATCTTCTAGATCTAGGAGAGAAAAACTGAAAAGTTATTAGTTAAGTTCTATATGTCATACCCTAATGTATGACCTTACGTTTGGGTGTGCAGTGTGCAGAGTCTGAAAACTCACTTAGTGGTGCTGTCTGCTGCATTCTCTTTGCAGCAGCCAGCTTTAATGACAGACAGACAGACAGACAGACAGACAAACAGCTCTCTCCTGTGCTGCTAATTTTATGACCAAAGTGTCAGAGTTGATTGTTTGTCTTGATGTTTTCGTGTCTAAAGAAGAAGACCTTAAGGACTTTATTTGACTGCCACTTTAAATACAGGAATATTTTATAAGACAATGTAGATGGGGAGGAAGCTTTGCAGTTTTATGAGATACAATTTAAGATGAGAAAATCAGATCTAAGTATTTTATACATTGGTACCTGTAACTACAACTTACTCCTTTTTTAAATTGAGATATAACTTGCATATGATATAATATATACATTTTTGTTGTTATTTTACTTAACTGAAAAACTTTTCATAAAATATTTTTAGATCCTAATTCCCTTCCTCCCAGATCCTTCCCACCCATCCATCCAACTCCACCCTTTTCTTTCTTTCCTTAGAAAGCAGGCAATCAAAAAATTAGAATAAAAAAAGAAGAAACAGAGAAACAAAAGCACAAAATATTGGAAACTATAATATACAAGCAGAAGAAAAAAAGCTTGGTTAAAAAAAAAGAGGACATAAATTTGAAAGAGTTGGGAGAAAGGGTTGGGAGGGGGAAGAAAAGGAGGACTATTGTAATCAAATTATAATCTCAAAAAAATGCTCAAACAAAGCAGCATATCTACAAAAATACCATTGAGTTTGTTTTGTGTTGGCCATCTGCTGCTGGACATGGGGCCTGTCTTAGGGTTTGTATTGCTATGAAGAGCCATGACCATAGCAACTCTTATAAAAGAAAACGTGTAATTAGGGCTGGTTTACAATTTCAGATGTTTAGTCCATTATCAGAATGGCAGGAAGCATGGTGTTACACAAGGAAGTGTGGTGCTGGAGAGGTGTTAAGAGTTCTACCTCTTGATCCATAGGCAGCAGAAGTGAATGCCACACTAGGCCGAGCTTGAGCCAGTTCAAGGCTACACCTACTCCAACAAGTCTGTAACGCCTAATGGTGCCAATCCCTATGGTCCAAACATTCAAACACATGGGGCCATCCCTATTCAAACCACCACAGGGCCTATCCATAACTGTAGGTAGTGAAACTCCACTGGAGAAAACAATTGTGGATAGCTTTTTCATTATGTGTGCCAGCCTGTGTCCACTTCCCTCTGCCAGTTTTGGGAGCCTCATCTGGCTTGAACCTGTGCACGTTGCTACCGTCTCTTTGAGTGCATATATGTATCAGTCCTGTTGTGTCTGGAAGACATTGTTTTGTTGAAGTCACCTCTTCCCATAGTTCCCTGTGCCCTGAGAAGGAGAGTTTGATAATGACTTCCCATAAAGGACTGCGTGTTCCAAAATCTCTCAGTCTCTGCCTCTTGTCCAGCTGTGGGGCCCTGTGTTAGTTCCCATCCTCTGATGATGGCTTAGCAAAGCTCTGCTCTGTGGGTATAGCAGAGTGTCATTAGGAATCGTCGTATCACAGTGCTCTGTTAGTAGATCAATAACACTTGGTTTTCCCCTAGGCCTGTGGTCTATCCAGTCTAAGGTTCATGGCCACCCAAGCAGTGTCAGGGAAGGGTTCCATTTTGTGCAGTAGGTCTTAAATCCAGTCAGAGAGAAGTTGATTATTCCCATAACACTGTGCCACTATTACATCAGCATGCCTTGCAGGCAGGTCACCATTATAGATTGTAAATCTGAAGATTTCTATCTGGGTTGGTGTTTAGCTTTCTCCTCTGATAATGAACATAGCACCTTCCAATATTATGAACACAAGTCAGTGGGCGGGGGAGGAGGGTGAAGGCTCTAGTTAAGCACCAGCTTGACAACTCCATGTGATATGTCAAATCATTTTTCTGTGTAGAAATGGATATATTTGGGAGAATATATCATTTTGGCACCTTTTGATCTGTTTTTAGATAGAATCATAAGTAGCCTTGACTGGCTTCAAATTTGCTATATGGTTGAAGATGACCTTGAACTTTCTAATCCTCATATCACTGCTTCCCAAATGTTGGAACTACAAGTTTGTGCAGCCATATCCAGTTAAGATGGAGCTGAGTATGGAACACAAGGGTTTATGCATACTAAGTAAACATTCTGCCAACTCAGCCATGTTCCAGCCCCTCAATACCACTTTGAAAGCCTTTTCCTCATTGGATTGACACTGCACCTTTTCTGAAAAGCAATGCATGTAGGTGTATAGGTCTAGTTTTGAAGTTTGCTGATCTGTTTATTTTGTTTATCTTTATTGTCAAAACTTTATAGAAAAATTGGAAAATTGGGTAGATTTTTTCACCATTTTTCATTGCTTTGGCTGCTTTAGAACTATTGTATTTCTACAAAAATCTCAGAATTAGTTTCTCAACTTATTTTTAAATCTTCTAAAAAGAACAGTTGTGAGTTTTGATACTGATCTTGGGAGATCAATTTGTGGACATTGAACATCTTAATACTAAATCTGTAAGCGTAAATATAAGACAACGGTTCCCATATTTTCAAGTCTCCTTTAGTTATTTGGTCATGTTTTCTCATTTTCACTGTAGAGGAATTTGTGTTTACTTGTGGGTTTGATGCTGTTAGCCTTGAGCTGTTTGTTTGCATGCTGTTCTCACTACCAGAAGTAATCTCTTTTTTACCCTCCCACTAGTGCAAGCTCACTCATTCTTATGTTTTGAAAGAAGTCTTTCCTACCCTCCCTGGAGCTGAGGAACCTACTACAGAATTCCTACCATCAAAGGCATCTTTAGTCCTCAGATGACTCCAGGCATCCCCCCCTTCCAAGATGGAAAGCTTGTATAATAATTGTAGAGGCAAAAACAAAACACAAAGGAAGGAAGGGACCCCACTGAGCTCCCACACCTGGGATGGTTGTGGTTGGTAATAGATATTGGTGCCGTGATTGCTCATTTAAAATCATTTTTGTCATAACTGAAAACATGGCCAAGACTCTTTCTCATCCAGGACAAATAAAAAGAACTGGGATCAAGCAAAATAAAAATGGTTGCAATGACAGTAATCTCAGCAAGTGACCTGGTCTCACCCCAAAGCTGTTCCTCCTCCATCTGTGTCTTCCAGCAGAGCTCATCTTTCTTTAACTTCTGGGTGGACTTAGAGAGGCGGGGCTGTAACTAGTAATAGCTAGGCTACTTCATCTTACCTGAGAGACAAGTTTCAGTCATACAGGAAATCAAAATATTTTCAGAACTCACAGACAAAATAATAAAGTAATAATTAAATATTTAGTCTCATGGCTCAAGAAAATTTGCAATGAACAGAACCTTCCAAAAAAGCTATGTTTCTGAGAAATACTTATATTAAAGAAATTACTATGCAGGGGCTGGAGAAATGGCTTGGCTATTAAAAGCATGTACTGTTCTTGAAGAGGAACTAAGTTTGGGTCCCAGAATCAACATTGGGCATCAAAATGCTCAGAACTCCAGCTTCAGGGAATAAAATGCCCTCTTCTGGCCTCTGAGAGCACTTGCACTCATGTGCATTTACCCACATACAGGCACACACATAAAAATCAATAAGGGTAGAACAAGCTTCGCCACATTCTTCCTATTTCCATGGTTTCTCTGCAATATGAAATCTATGAGGGTAATCTTAAAAGTCCCATTGTCTGAAATTTCAAACACTTTAAAAGTTCACCCTGTAAAGCATCCAAGACTCAAAGTTCAAGCCTCTCTAAAACACCCAGTCTTTCTAAAAATACCCAGCCTTTCTAAAACTCCAGAATCTCTCTCTATAAAAGTTCAGAACTAACTGTGGGCTCCTATAAAACCAAAATAAGTGGAAGCCTTCCTTACTCCACAAGGAAGGAACCAAGACAAAGTTCAACAGTGTGAAAAGTTAGGTACTTAATGCCTGGAACCCACTCATGATGCTCTAGGCTCCAAAGCACCTGTGAAGCTAGTTCCATTTCTCAGGTTCTGCCATCACAGCACACATGACTCACCTCATAGGATCAGTCTGGCTCCACTTCACAGCTGCTGCTGTTCTTAGTGGTGGTCCCATGGTACTGGAGTCTCCAAAAAGATGGGCTGCCCACCGCAGCTGGGCTGACTCTTTTCACTAGCCTCCACTGGGCTCTCTGCAAGCCTCAACTTCTCTACTTGATGCCTCAACCCCAGGGCTTTTACTGCTGCTAAGGCTGCACCTTCACCAATAGCCTCTTATGATGCCAAGCCCCAGCTCTCTCAATGACTCCCTCGTGTCTTCAAAATCAATACCACCTGTGAAACTTACAAATTAAAAAATTAGTTAAGCATTAAAATCTGTTTTTCAATACTTACGAAAGAAACATCCGTGTGCATCTATGCACACATATGTGCAATGTGTGTACATGTTAGTATGGGTGTATACATGTGTGCATGCACACACATATATGTCTGTGTAGGCCACAGGTCTATGATGAGTGTCTTCCTCAATTGCCCTCTACCTTATTTTTGGAGGCAAGGTCTCTCACTAAACTGACTACCAATAAG